CATACAATGGGGCTGTCACCACACGGCTGAGCAGATTTTTGCCTGTAACCCCACTTAGAACAGCACAAATCAGGCTCAGCAGGGCTGGAGCCTCTGCTGCCATCTGAAGTATTCCGGTGAACTTGTGTGTCAGTCAGAATCAAAGGCCCTTGGCTAATTTAAGGCAAAAGAAGTGTTTTCAGTTCCTTTCCTGAACCAGCTGTGGGGTGCTGGGATGGTGCAGGTGGCACTGGGGTGCCAGGGCTGGAAGTGACATCCCCGGTGTGCTGGATCTGGGCATATTAAATATTTCTATTTCTATATTTTCTATATTTCTATATTTCTATATTTCTGTATTTCTATATTTCTGTATTTCTATATTTAGATATTTAGATATTTAGATATTTAGATATTTAGATATGAAGGTCTTGGAGAACCTGCAGGGGCAGGTTCCACTCTGTCATCTTCGCTGTCAGAGTTTGCTCTGTATTTTTATATTTTTAAATATTTTTATATTTTAAAATAGTTCTATATTTATTTCTATATTTATATATTTCTATATTATTTCTATATTTATATATTTCTTATATATTTATATATGAAGGTCTTGGAGAACCAGCAGGGGCAGGTTCCACTCTGTCATCTTTGCTGTCAGAGTTTGCTGAATGCATCAGGTCATACCCATTGAAGTTTGGGCTGGTTTTCTTTTTTTTTTTTTTTTCCCCTTAAATGACAGTTTATCCGAGCTGGTGGAATGAATGGATAACGTTACTATTTACATAAGCTCATTGTGATCTGTCTGCGTAATGTAATCAAATTAGGGTTAACTGCAGCTGGAGAATGCCAGCTYGTAAACTGTTTTTCAAAAAGAATCACATGGTGCTCCTTGACATGTTTGGTATACATTTGGGGGGGGCTTTGCAAAAATTCTAGCACATCCCTGAGGGGTGGGACCAAGGCAGGATCCTGTTGCCACCAATTCTTGGATTTCAGGGAAGGGAAGGCATCGAAATCTCTCTCTGGCGGGGCAGATCCACCTCCACCTAAGGCACAGGCTGTGCTGACCTGGCTGCTGCTGACATGTTGTCCTTCCCCTGGCTAAAACCAACATATTTTAAAACCTGTTGAAAAAGATTTTAAAAAGATTTAAAAGCAACAGTTGATAGGAAAAGSGTGTGGTGTAAATTCTGAGCGCGTTTAGGAACATCTGCGCTGAGTGCGGGAGCGCAGCCCCGTCTCGCAGCGTTTCAAAGTGCAGCATTTCAATGTGCAGCTTTTCCAAGTGATTTTTTGTTATTCCTCTCAATAAACATTGCATCTGGGACTTGCTTTGCCTGGTTCTCCCCCTCCCCTTGAGCAGGAGGTGCCRTGGACATCCCAAAGTTTCATCACTCCCTTCCCATGAGCTGTGRGRAGCRGRATCCCRGGATGGGATCTGCTCCAGGGTACCTGGTGTGCCTGTTGGGTGCTGTCTGCTCACAAAGTGTGCTCAGACAGAGTTTATCCTGCTCTGGGAATGCATCAGGAAAATTCTGAGGGTCCTTCCACTACCTAGGAAGGTTTCTGAAGGTTTTGGCARTAGATGGGCAAGGGGAGGTTTGGAATTGTGGCCTCTGCTCCTACACAGACACCCCATCAATGCCATGCCAAGGTGCCAACCTGCTCAGCTGGAGCAGGAAAATGGCACTTTGAGGACATTGGGCTGTGGGACGTGTCCAAGCCAATGGAGATGGGCTGTGGCAGAGCTCATTGTGTTTTGGGCATCTTTGTTTGAAATCAGAAGCAAAGAAAGCATAAAATATTTAATGTAAGACAGTTCCCACCCTTCCACTGCTGCTGAAAAATCTTTTAACCCATAGAATAATAGAATTACAGTTTCATGGAATCATAAAATGGAATCATAGAATCACAGAATCGTGGAATCATAGAATCATGGAGTCACAAAGTCACAGAATCAGAGATTCACAGAATCACGGAATTATAGAATCATGGAATCACGGAATCATAGAGTAACAGAATCATAGAATCATAGAATAAAACCATAGAATCACAGAATCATAGAATCACAGAATCACAGAATCACAGAATCACAGAATCACAGAATCATGGAATAGAATAATAGAATTATAGAATCACAGAATTTCTGAGGTTGGAAAAGACCTTTAAGGTCATCAAGTCAGTGCAGCATTGCCATCACATTCTCCATCAATTGTCCACGTTCTGGTAGTTTGAGTGTGGAAATGGTGCCCCTGATATTAAAATGCTTTGTGATATTTGAGGGGTTTTTTGCCCAGAATTTCTGTGATAGATGGAAACTCAAAAAAAAAAATTCACCAAACATCAAAAATAAGCCATTTAAAAATATTCCGGATGAGCAAGAGTGATCAGGAGCCTCTGAGGATTTTCTGCAGAATCACCATTTTTTAATAAGGATGAAACATTTTTTTTACAGAAATTCTGTTCTCTGAGAACTTTGAAATTTGGGATCTGCTATGAATTGAAAGAGAAAAAAAAAAGAAGTTTTCAGAGAAGGAACTTGCCCTTTGAGCACAGCTCGGTCCAAACCAACAAAAGGAAGCTTGTGTTGGCATCTCCATTCCKACTCAGGAATTCCTGACTCTTAAGCCTGTTTATACAGGGCTCCACCACAGCCCAATTTGCACTTCATTGGAGTTTTCTTTCCCCTCCACATTTATGGTGCTGCTGGGCGGGTGGATTACACACTCTAACTGCACATTTTGCTTCTCCAGTTTTATCCAAAGGCTTTTTCCATGCAATAATTACAGGGAAATGTCTTTATTCGAGGGCAGACGCATCCCATGGATGCTTTGGACTTGTTCTGCATTTCTATTTCAGCCCTGAAAGCTTCATGGCCTGATTCTCCCAAGGTTTTGGGGGTTGCTGGTTCCTGGTGAGGGCACTGGGAGCAGCCAGAATTCTTTGAAAGCTCGGTGGCATCCAGGCCAGGCAGGAGGGATGTTTAACTCCAATAATTCATGGCCATGTCAGGGTGTACATGTGCACAGGCCAGGGCAGGAACACGGAATTTTATGGCTTTGGGATTTGCCTCTTGATCCTATTTGCTCTCAGCTACTTTGGAAACCGCACTTTCAACGTCCATTAGAGCTGGTGTAAAGCACGGGATGGTTTGGGGTTCTTCCCATGGAAACACAGCCCCTTGTTAGTGCAGCTGAGCTGGAGATTTGGCAACGGCTTGGAAATTTGTAAATCAGTCGATCTCACCTGGGCGTGGCCAAAGGGGGCCAAGAGCTTCGTGCCAAATCCCCAGCTGCTAAAATGTTCCTTTCCTTTCTCCTTTC